GCAAAATCAGGTAGCATGTAGTTTTTAATGCCACATCAAAAGCATTCCTAATAGTGGTGGCCGAAAAGTCTTCTTTACGGTATAAAATATTTGACCACTTTACCTCAGGTTGTCCGTTTAATGAAGTAGACTTAAAAATAAACAATTATTGAAGACTGAGTCATTCAGACATTTATCGACCATTAATCCTATACCTTTTGAGAATAATATCGTACCTCATGGAACCGAATTCTTTTGATAGAGGGTATAAATGCTATTTAAAGCCACGCTATGGACGCTGAGGCCAGGCAGCGAAAATTTGTGGGCAAGACGGAAAGACTGAAAACTTCAAACTTGGGGTATTTAGCCAGTTATGTTTATCTAGCGGGTAGTAACTAGACTATAATGGTCATAATGGAACTGCTAAGGTCTGTTTAAAATGCTGGACCAAGTAATGATTCCATCAATAAAATTACTACTGCAGTGAGAGCTTCCTCACCTGTGCTTCAAGGTAGGAAGTAGAAGCTGGCGGCAGCCCGATAAAAGACTTCAAGTGCATTCTAATGATTGCATAATCCCGAGTCTTGCATTTACCACCGAAATTACCATAAATACGGGGACAAATGGAGTTAGGAACAGAAAACTGAGGGAAGTCCATGCTGCTCCCAAGTAGTGTCAACTACCCAAAAAAACAGGCCGATGAATGGTAGAAGGAAGGAAATGAACAGATGTCGCAACTGTGACCACATAAGTGAAAGCGGAGGACATGGAGGAATTTGTTCAGTTATTCACCAACCCAGACTCGGGCACCATAACTCAAGTACCAGAAAAGGAAAGAGCAAACTTACCGAGAAAGCGAGAGATCCCACCGATGAAACTCGAGGGCGTGGAGGAAGTCATGTTCGTAGAAGTAGGCGTTGCCCAGTTGACTGTAGATAGCAGAAAGAACGGTGATATCATCGGTGCCTACGGCGAGGGCTTGACGGAAGAGACGGATGGCAGCTTGATAGTCGCGCGTCGTCTTGCACACTCGTTCCGCTTCCAGGGCCAACTCGAGGCAGGTGCGCGGGTTGGAGGGTTTCCGTGAGACCTCTTTGAAGGTCATTTCCCCTCCTTCTACCACAAAGGAGATAGGGCATAAGCGACTTTAAGTGACAATCCCGCGATTTAGAAAATGTCGAAGGTAACCGGAATTCGTGCTGGT